TTCTAATGTGGAAAGCCTCTCATTATTCCTCTGTCTTAAAAGATAGATTCTATAATTTTTTGTACTAAATTCTTCTTTATTAGACTTTATCTTTTCCAAACGGGTAAAGAATTAGAGCAATATTCTTATCTTTGAAAGCTTGTGTGCTAACTGGCTGCAGTGGCTCATGCCTATAACTCCTGGCACTTTGGAGGCCAAGGCCTGAGGTGAGGAGTTCAAGACCAGCCTGGTCAACATGGCATAACCCTGACTCTGCTAAAAATGCAAAAATTAGCCAGGTGTGGTGGTGCACGCCTGTAGTCCCAGCTACTCAGGAGGCTGAGGCAGGAGAATCGCTAGAACCCGGGAGGTGGAGGTTGCAGTGAGCCGAGATGGTGCCACTGCATTCCAGCCTGGGCTACAGATTGAGGCTCCAACTCAAAAAAAAAAAAAGGAAGCATGTGTGCTACAAATAAAGGCTAGGTTAGCTGTATTTGTCTATGTTTCCAAATTGCTGGCATTTTATGCATGTGTATTGATGCTTTTCTTTAAATTTCCTATTTAATTTTCAATACCATGAAGGCAGAGACTGTTGCTCTCTTTAAAGTTATCCATGGGACATGCTAGAAAGGTTTGTGGCACGTTAGTATTAGGCCATTGTTGCTGATTGCCTCTCTTCTCCACTTCCCTTTGCTGTTGCAGACCCGGCCAAAGACTTTGCTTCAATGAATCCTGTCTTTGTTTCCAGCCAATAATCATTCTTTTGGAAGAGGTGAATTTTGGTCTTTAAAACAAGCAATACGTATGCATCACTCATTGAAGGAAATGTACAGTAGATTTTTAAAAATTCATGTACTATAGTTAGCTGAGCACCCACTTATAAGTGAGAAACACAATATTTGGTTTTCCAAACCCGAGTTACTTCACTTAGACCTTTAGATTGGCCTTTAGTTTAGACTTTCAGTTTAGATTTTTTAAATGCATGTAGTCAGTACATGCATTTAAATGTTTCAGAAACTCCAGATTGTCTGAATTTTCAGAGGAGTAAAATAATTTGGCCTTTACTTTAGATCTTTAGTTAGGATTAAAGAAGGAAGGGAAAGGGGAAGAAAAAGGGCAGGGAAAGGGAAGGAATAAGAGGGGAAAAGGGTGGGGAAAGGGGAGAGAAATAGAAAAAGCGAAGAAAAAATATGAAAGGAAGGGAAAGGAAAAGGGAAGAAAAATGGGGAGGAAATGGGAAGGGGAAGGAAGGGGGAAGGAAAAGGAAAGGGAGGGAAAACAGTAGTTAGCACATGAATTTAAAAAATCTAAACTAAAGGCCAAATTATTTTACTCCTCTGAAAATTCAGACAATCTGGAGTTTCTGAAACATTTTTATGTGAACCCCTTGATCTATATGATCATTTCTCACATCAGTAACTGATGGTTTCATTTTTTAAAAGTAGCATAACTACCTCAAACCTGGAAAATTTTAGTAACACTAAAAATAAACCAGTTAAATAAACACAGACTTATTTTCAAAGACAGTTTGAGACATAAATGCTTTTAAAATCTACCCGAGCTGCAACTCTGAAGTATCGATTCTGAGGCTTTTCAAAGTAATACACTATACAGTTTATGCTGTAAAATGAATTAAAGGGGCTAGAAGAATAATAGCACTAGTTTTTTTATGTTAATTTTTATAATATTAATATAATTTCTTAAAAATCCTTTCAACTCAACTGCATAATTTCCTAGATGTTAAATATAAATTTTTTTAAACTATCCATTTACAGAACATATATTTGTAAAATCTAAAAAGGATTAAACTTTTGTGCATACCGGTGGAATATTTAGCTTCTGTGGTGATTAGGATTACTTTTAAGTGTCACTTTTATTCTCTGTATAGTAGATCTCCATAGTATACAGAGTAGAGACACCTCCCAAGACAATGCTAACACAACTGCCAGCTGTGCAGATATTGAAAACTTTAAAAAATTATTTCTCCATTTGAATGAGTGTAATAGTCACATCGTAGTAAGATTTTTGTTTCTATTAAATTGAAGCAACATCTGCACAGCAAAATAAATAAGCAAAAAGCAAAAAGACAGCCAATGGAGTGGGAGAAATATTTGCAAACTCTGCGTCCAACACAGAACTAATATCCAGAATCTACAGGAAACTCAAATCAGCAAGAGAAAAATGAATAACCCCATCAGCAAGCGGTCAAAGGACACGAATAGACAATTCTCAGAAGAAGATATACAAACAGCCAGCAAACATGAAAAATGCTCAACCTTACTAATTATCAGGGAAATGCAAATTAAAACCAATGTGATACCACTGCACTCCTGCAAGAATGGCCATTATTCAAAAAGACAAAGAACAGGAGATGCTGGTATGAAGGTGGTGAAAAGGAAATACTTTTACATTGCTAGTGGGGATGGTAAAACCACTATGAAAAACAGTATGGAGATTTCTTTTTTTTCTTTTTGAGATGGAGTCTCACTCTGTTGCCCAGGTTGGAGTGCCTTAGTGCAATCTTGGCTCACTGTGACCTCTGCCTCCTGTGTTCAAGTGATTCTTCTGCCTCAGCCTCCCAAGTAGTTGGGACTACAGGTATGTGCCACCACACCCGGCTGATTTTTGTATTTTTAGTAGGAATCGTTACCATGTTGGCCAGGATGCTTTCAATTTCCTGACCTTGTGATCCACCTGCAGTGACCTCCCAAAGTGTTGGGATTACAGCCATGGGCCACCACACCTGGCTGAAGATTAAAAAAAAAAAAAAAAAAAACTAAAAGTGAACTACCATTTGATCCAGCAATCTCATTACTGGATACCTACCCAAAGGAAAATAAGTCATTATATGAAAAGCATACATGCACACACATGTTTATAGCAGCACAAATTGCAATTCAAAGATACGGGACCAACTTAAATAGCCATCAACCAATGAATGGATAAAGAAAATGTGGTATATATACACTGTGGAATATCAATTACCTATCAAAATGAATGAAACAATGTCATTTGCAGCAACTTGGATGGAGTGGAGGCCATTATTCTAAGTGAAGTAACTCAGGATTGGAAAACCAAATATTGCATGTTCTCACTTATAAGTAGGAACTCAGCTGTGAGGATGCAAAGGCAGAAGAATGGTACAGTGGACTCTGGGGACTCAGCAGGAAGGGTGGGAGGAGGGTGAGGGATAAAAGACTGCACATTGGGCACAGTGTACATTGCTTAGGTGACAGGTGCACCAAAATCTCCAAAATCACTGCTAAAGAACTTTTCCATGTAGCCTGTACCTAAAATTTTAAAGAGTTGAGGCAACAAAAAATGTAACAAAATGCCAATTCAAAATGACAAAGTGATTAATAATGGCTTCTTTCTTCTGTCAATTACATTTGAGGTGATGACTGTCCTGAACAGTCTCAGGGAACTAAATATTTAATAGTTATTGGAAGTTTCCAAAGGAAACTTACCAGTCAATATAGGGAATTGATAGAAAAAACACATCTTAGTATTCAAACCATTCCACAGACGATGGGGAAGCCTTCACCATTAAGAGGGTAGAATTACATGCCTCAAGGCTATCAGGGTAAGGCACCTGACAGAGAATGTGTGTCTAGCCCTGCACCAGCCAAGAAAAGTGTGGATCTGCAGGGAGAGGTGGTTGGTCCTAAAAGAGCTGAGCACTGTGCATTAGTCAACTGCTGATTCAGTTGCAGATGCTAATGAGAGCATCCAGAGATGGAACCAGGCTGTGTGCTTCCCAAGAAATATCAGATGCAGAGCCAGGATTGTCATGGACCTCAGGGACACAGGACAGACCCGAGGGTCCATTCCCTGTGCCTCCTCCCAATCCTGTGCATGTCGTTGTACTCACATATCAAATGCTGTCTAGAGAGGAACATGATGGAGAGCTGGAGAGCAGAAATAATAGACTGAATTCTTCCTGCTGCCTTGTGTGGGAGCTGTGAAGACTAGGTTAACTGCAAAGCTGTAGTTGGAGTAAGTTTGTGACCACACCACAGAGGAAAAAGCAGACTGTGTCTCCACCTAATGTTGATGTTTCTTGCCATTTATTCAATTCTATTGTTTTTCTGGCTTTTATTTACCATTGGCAATCTAGCACTGATGAAAATTTTCCCTTTATCCTAAAATTGTTAGCCTGAATTCATGCCTGAAAACTAGCAAGGCAGCTACCCTACGTTGTAAAGACAACCATGAACCAATGCAGCCAGACAGCGCAGAATCAGCCCCATGAAAAGGAGAACCCTTCCAAGACTACTCTAGGAGATGCCCCAGGAGGGGAAGAAAAAGTTGCTAGTCTTCTGGAAATTACAGTGTTAATGGAGAGTATTAAGTCCCTCATCCTCATCTAAGGAAGAGGCACTCCCTTCCTAATGCTCAGGCTTATTGACAGCAGTGAAGATTAATGAGGAGGGAATGAAAGATGGAAGGATTGTCTGCAAAAATGGAAAAAAGGGAAGCCTCATATTCTGATCTGCATTTAGATGCCTGGTTAGGCCACAGTCCTGCTTTCATGTCCTCCTGAACAGGGGAAAATGCTGGATGGAGAGAGGGAAGAAGAATAAAACAGGGAGCATCCGCAAGAATGTGTGTTTCTCATGAATCAAGTGGAAACCTCCAGAGGGAGTTTCCACTGCATGAGGAGACCCTAGCAGCAGTGGGCTCAGGGTGGACTCTCAGGGTCTGGGGCTGGAGACTGGACTAGACCCAGGTTTATCATCTCAGAGAAGTGTGCCCTAGGAGCCCATGGAGGGCCTTCCATGGACCACACACGTGTTCAAGGGCAGGGTCAGCATGGGGGTCTGCCTCACAGATGGCTAGACAGCTAGTCAGTGAGAGCTGGAGGGACAACAGTGACCCAGACCAGGATCCCTGCAGCTGAGTCCTTTCAAAACAGTGAGATCCTCCCACTCCCCACAATCCAACCTCCTGCTCACGATTATCCAGAGCTCAAAGATGTCAAGGGCATGGGGGAGCTAGGGAAAGAGCAAAACAGGTCCCTTTTCTGGGATCACTTCACAAGCATAACCAGGGATGGCAGAATGGAAGCTTTGAATTAGATATGAGACTGGAATTTTAATATGCACTGGATTGAATTCTAATTTGTTAATTCTAAACAAAAACCATATTTAGAAAGTTCTCAAATCTCTCCAAGATGACATTCAAGGATGGGAAAGGGAATTCAAGTGATGTGGGCTGAGCATAGCGACTGAAAAACGATAAAGGCCATTTCATTTTTATAGCCTCAAAAAACTGCTTTCACATTGAATGTGGAATTATGAAGTTAGATCGAAGTAATGGAGATGATTTTGTAAGGAAAGCAGAAAGAACGCTAACAGATATTGCACAGACGTTAATAGGTAAGTACTTTGCAAGGTTTCTATGTTTAATTCCTACAATGAACAGTGTAGTACTCTCCTCAATTTAACTGAAGCCAAGAGAAATGAAGTAACTTGCTCAAGGACACAAAGGTAATGAATGATAAATCTGGTATTAAATAGGTAAATATAGTGTCAAAGCCAGGACTTATTCCACTCGTACTCTACTGCCTCCAACTGTGGTGCACTGTGAGACATTTTTCTTTTTTTTGAAATGGAGTCTCGCATTGTCTCCCAGGCTGTAGCACAGTGGCGTGATCTCGGCTCACTGCAATCTCCACCTGATGGGTTCAGGCAATTCTCCTGCCTCAGCCTCCCGAGTAACTGGACTACAGGCATGCACCACCATGCCCAGCTAATCTTTTTTTTTTTTTTTTTTTTTTTAGTAGAGATGGGGTTTCACTATGTTGGCCAGGATGGTCTCGATCTCCTAACCTCGTGATTCACCCATCTCAGCCTCCCAAAGTGCTGGAATTACAGGTGTGAGCCATTGTGCCCGGCCTGTGAGACATTTTTTCATAATAAAACTTCCTTTGTGTCTGCTTTAATTATATCTAATCTAGTATGAAAAGACATGTTATGGTACAGTGTAATTTAGTTGAACCTGTCAATGGTATATGATGATTCTTTGTCAGTTCAAATACTCATTCCCTATTTTCTTTTTAAAGGTACAGTTCTGCCTTTACTGTGAATTTCCTTTGTTCGGGTGGTGTACTTGGGTGCTGTGGAGATGATATTCGCAGACAGATGTTAATGCATCATTATAAACACTGCCTGTTCTTGCTCCCTTATGAAAATGAAGAGATCTGTTAGTATTTCATGGCACATTGCCACCTGGATTTGACTCAAACCTTCTCTCCTGATACGTTTTCACTCTGAATGACTGGTTTCCTTTTGTTTGCTTCTGGTTCAGATTCTGGAGTTCATATTTCAATGTCTGTTTTGAAAAGTAAATGGTGGGAGAAGGAGGAGGCAGAATGTAGGTTGGGCAGAGAAGATGGCCCTTTAAAAATGTTTTTATGCTGGAGATTTTAACAGAACAATTCTGACAGTCAGCACTGACTGAGTGGTTTATTCAGATATTCCCACCTGAAGAATTCCATTATCCTAAAAACACAGATTATTTTTTCTGATGTTTATCTACTCCCTAGCTTCCCTAAATTTCATAATTGCCCAATTTTGAGAGTTAATATTTGACTCTGTGCTCAATGTCTGATTAAGGTTTACTAGTGCATTCATGTTGGAAACAAATCTCAAATGCCTCCTCTACGTTCCGTATTTTATTACTTTTCTCTTTGGAACCAGTGAGGGACATTTTCTCTTACATACAGACATTCAGTAGTTTTATAGCTTAAGATCTTATATGTTCTTAGTCATAACATATTCATGTGGACCTTATTTTTTTTAAAATCATATATCTATAGCAGTTTAAATGACCTGGGATTCATTTCAACCAGTAAACAGTTGGACCCATAGAAGTAGTCTCTCATCAACATGTAGAAAGACATCTCTGAGTTGAAGAGAACAAAAATGAATAAAACAAAAGAGGGAATCGATATAGACTTTATTAATAATGCATTAGAAATCGAGAGGTTGAATTAACTCACATCTGTACTTCAGACCAATAAAAGGGAGGAAAGAAACATAAATAGAGTCTGTAAGTATACCTGGAAGTGTTTTTTTTAATTATACTTTAAGTTCTGGGGTACATGTGCAGATCTTGCAGGATTGTTACATAGGTATATGCAAGCCATGGTGGTTTGCTACCTCCATTCCCCCGTCACCTACATTAGGTATTTCTCCTAATGTTATCCCTCCCCAAACTGCCCCCCCTTACTATCCTCCTCGAGCCTCCCACCCTCCAACAGACCCCAGTGTGTGATGTTCCCCTCCCTGTGTCCATGTGTTCTCATTGTTCAAAACCCACTTATAAGTGAGAACATGTATATATCTGGAAGCTTTAAGGCAAAACTTTGGAAGGCATATTTCTAGTATTCTATACATATTTTGCATTTTGATCCTGCGTTCAGAATTGGACCCTGACTAACTGGAGGCCTGATAAGTGGATTTATCAAGGCAGGTGACCAGCTTAACATATATATGTATATGTTATTTATTTATTGTTTTATTTTATATTTATTTATTTAAGAGACAGGGTCTCACTCTTTCACCCAGACTGTAGTGCAGTGGCATGATCTTGGCTCACTGCAACCTCCCCCTTCCAGGCTCAAATGATTCTCCTGCCTCAGCCTCCTGAGTAGCTGAGATTACAGGTGTACTCTGCTGCCACCCACCTAATTTTTTTTTTTTTTTTTTTTTGTAATTTTTGTAGAGACTAGGTTTCACCATGCTGGCCTGGCTGATCTCAAACTCCTGACATCAAATGATCCACCTGTCTCAGCCTCTCAAAGTGCCGGGATTACAGGCATGAGCCACTGCGCTTGGCCAAGACCAGCTTAATCTTATTTGTCCTTGTTTTTGTGTGTCCTTCTTATTATAAGCATTGGTACTTCTATTTTTATTTTCCATTCTACCTTTATGATGGCATAGGAAGAAATGCTTTATAAAAGCCAACGAACACGAAAAACATTCAAATAATGATGCTTTATGGACAAAGAGGATGAATTCTGAAAGGAAGAAATTGGTCAGAAGATCATGCGAAATGAAGTTGCTCAGAATATTGAATGCCACATACTGTATGAATGTCTGAATTTGACAGACGGGAGGTGACTTAGAGTTGTCAATAAATAATAAATAAAAGTATAGTTTGTATGAAAGTCAAACTTCGGAAAACTTCAGTCTAAATTTTACACTTGCATTTTACCACAGTAAGTCTAGATTTGGTTGTACGTCCAGAGAAAAAAAAGTTACAAATATTCCCTCTAGATTATCTTGAATGCCTCTGCTCACGACTTTAAAGTCCAATTGTGGTGCTATTCCTGACTTAATGTCTGCAGACGGCCTCAGGCTATGGCCCTCGTGGGCTGGCATGTATTAAAAGAGGCTGGAGATCATGAATTGGTTAATGCAGAGAGGTGGGTGGATGAAAGCTACTTAAAAGCACCTATCTAAATTCACATCACCAGTCAAGTGACAATGTGAAAGGGGTGATTGTATTATCTTTAGCACTTGTTTACTTTTTCTGAGGTGAAAGAACAGGAGCAACCGCCTGGATTCACTTTAAAAAATGATGGTAGCTATCAGGTTCTCTTAGTATTCCTGTGAGCCTTCCCATCCGAGCAATGTGTCCTTCCTACTGAGTGCTTATTTGAAAAGCTCAACGAGGAAAATCTCTTTGAACTGTATTTTTTCTTCTCAGCTGAATGAGAACATCTGAAAGTCCATCTCCGATTTCCTTTCATCGGCACTAACTCAGTTTGACAGTCCGGACCCGACAGAACTATATATCACAACATGACCTAGAGTTGGCCAGACGTTTAAATGCTCACCAGCCCTGAACTCACAAGGCTGTTTTTAACCTCCGGCTTGTTTGTAGATTGCTGTTCAAGGTAAGTTCCTGTGTAAAGTGACTGCCTTTGTTCTACATGAAATTCACTTTTATTTATTAGACAATCTAATTTTTTCTTTTTTATTACATTGCAAAATACTTTAGGAATCTAAGAAAGTCATTTCGCCTTATTTTCCATTCACTATTTGTCCATTCGTATAAGTTTATGACAAACCAGATGTCCATCACAGCTGTGGAAATCAGATACTTGATGAATAAATATAAATGATGCACATAAAACTAGGTGTGGTTTTATCCGTGAAGTACATGTACGCTTGAGGCTTCAAAGAGTTTTGCTTCATATTCATTTAAATGAATGATAGCATTTTTGCATGATTTTTCTTGATACTTTTGAAATTGTTCCAAACTTGAATCCATTACCATTAGATACTATTTATACCATGATGATATAAAAGTTAGAATTTTCATTATGTATGCATTACTTCATCTATTGCTAGAAGAAATAATTTCATAGCTTCATAACTTGCCGGAAGAAACTGCATTTGAAACATGAAGTTTACATTCCTGTTTCGTCCTTCTGTTCTTAAATGTATTATGGCATTCTAGGCGTTCCCAATTTGAGCAAATAGTTGTAACCTGATGAAGCCATCTTTGTCTCTTTATGTTTCAGTGCCTGACATTTGGGTGTTCATGGAGTGCTTTGATTGGCTGAAGCATGGGGTTTTTTAATAATATGAGCTGTTAGTCTAAACAATCGTTTCTAAGCAAAACCCTTAAATTTATTCTTTAAAATACTTCATTTTATCTTAATGGACAAGACACTATTTGAGGATACATGGTTCCTGCTTTTGAGCAATCTATCTTCTAGTGAGGAATACGCATGTATACACCCCAACATAATCTGTGAGTGCTGTGTTATAAAGAGGTAAGAGAGTGTTGAAGGGACCAGGGGAGGGAGACATTGTCCTAGGACTCTTCTAATTGAAAAGAGTGTCACATACTCAAAATATCGCTGCGAATTTGACACACAGGAATGAGGTTGAGGAATAAGGGACACCACCAACATCCCAACGGCTTGGAATAAAATTCAAATTCCTTCTTTAGCATCTGAGGCCCACATCAGTGATTTTCCTCTTTGGCTGAAGATCAGAACCCAACTCACGAACTCCAGAATCTGATGCCTAAACTCCATTGCCGGAGATTCTGGTTTATTTCATGCCAAGGTAACCCTTAATGTGGAAGCAGAGCTGACATTTATTTATCAGACTGATGTAGCCCTGGCCTCCCTTTCAGTCTTTATTTCCTATCACATTCTCCTGTGTTCACTTAGCTCCTGCCATCTGCAGACTCTCTCCCTCCAGCCCAGCAGCTTCCGTTCCTCTAAAGCACAACTTTACTAAGGATGACTTGTCATGCCTGGACTATTATTTCTGAGATGGTAATACCAGCTGATACTTGCTGAGGACACACAATGTCCTAGGACCCAGGCAGCATATACATTGTAAAATGTATTAAGTCATTTAATCGTCACAAATGGATGAGTTGTCTTTATTTTATGGTGGAAGAGCCTGATGCACAGAGCTGTGATGTCATACACCTGTGGTGGCGGGGCTGGGATTGGAACTGATGTAGCTGATGCTCAGAGCCCTGAAGCCCAACGCTAAAGCTACCGCTTTCATTTTTCCTCTTCATATCGTTTAAGCCTTGATCCAAAGGTTCCCTTCTCAGAGCATTGCTTGACTAACCTCACTCCCATTTCTATAATGCTTTACTCTGCAATTACAGTGTTTATTTATATATTTAATGTTTTTCTTCTAATACAATGTAAACTCAGCAAAGGCTGACTATATCTGCTTATTCACCATTGTATTTCTATTACCGTAAAAATGGCACATAGAAAGGTTTCAACAAATATGTACGAAAGGAAAGAATGAATTTCTAGTGTAACAAGTATTCAAGGCAGAATAAAATTACTCCAGGCACCACTCTTCCCTGGCATTTGTCTGGCACAATGATTTCATGATTTGAAATTCCAAAGAGCGGGCAGCTAAGGAGTGTTTGATTTCATATACTCAACCCACATTTCAATATGAACCTAAGCAGTATAGTGGTTGCCCGTAGCCAACAAACTGCTTTGCTTTGCAAACATTTATCGTGCCTGTTTTCTTGCTGGTAGAACATTAATATTGCCCTGTTTTTTCTTCTCCAGGAGGCTTCACTAGTGAGCGATGAGAGTGTGAGCCATCACAGTGGGTCTGTCCTCCTTGCTGATCATTCAGGTTGAGTGAGTGTCACAGTCCCGGCAAGTGAGACTTGAGTGAAGTTCTGCAGGGGACCCTCTGGTAAAGGTCTTTTGCTCTTAAAAATTCAAACAAGAGAGTGAGCTCCTCCACCCTCATATTCCAACATCATTAGGTAGGAAAGGAATCCCTGCAGCTGCAATTACATCTGGAAACAATTACATCTTGAGACAATTAGATGGCCTTATAGTTAAGAATACTGGATTTGGAGTCCAAAAGCTGGCTTCAAATTCCAGTGCCGCCCCTTGCTAGGTACATGATATTGTGCTAGTTGGCTAATCTCTCTGTGCCTCATTTCCCCTTTCTGTAAAATGGATAATAACAATGCTTATTTCATAGAATATTTGAGGATGCCTGAGTTAATATGTAGATTTGAAGTTCCTTCATTTGTAAAAATAAGGGGCCAACCTCATAGGACTATTGTGAGTATTACATGAATTAAAACCTATCTGAGGCACTTAAACCAAGATTGGCACATAGACAGTGTTAGAAATTATTAGCTAAAAACAAAACAAAATAGCGGGAGGGCAGACCAAGACAATCTTTTGAGGGCAGAACTGAACCCTGATTGTACTGAACTTGGGGCCATTCCTTATATCAGATTTAAAATTTTTATACTGGCATAATTTAAGCCATTAAAGTCAAAGTTTTCTGTGTGTCTTTTAGTGAAAATCTGTTTTTTTTTTTGTTGAGACAGTTGTGCTATGTTGCCCAGACTGGAGTGCAGTGGTGCTATCTCGGCTCACTGCAACCTCTACCTCCTGGGTTCAAGAGATTCTCCTGCCTCAGCCTCCCAAGTGGCTGGGATTACAGGCGCCCACCACCACGCCCAGCTAATTTTTTGTATTTTTAGTAGAGATAGGATTTCATTGTGTTAGTCAGAATGGTCTTGATCTCCCGACCTCGTGATCGGCCCACCTTGGACTCCCAAAGTTCTGGGATTATAGGTGTGAGCTGTCATGGCCGGTCCTTCCCCCACCCCCATTTTTTGTTTTTGAGACAGAGTTTTGCTGTGTTGCTCAGGCTGGAGTGCAGTGGCACAATCATAGCTCACTACAGCATAGAACTCCTGAGCTCAGGCAATCCTCTTGCCATGGCCTCCCCAAGAGCTGGAATTACCAGAGGCCACCATGCCCAGCCGTGAAAGTCATTTTAACTGACATATTGCACATAAATGTGGAAGTAATGGAACCAATATTCATCATATCTGAGACCACTGGGGCCACAGGCTTCTTTCTGCATGATAATTCAGTTTGGAGCCTGCATGTGAATGGAGAAAAACCTCTTCATCATACTGAGCACTCTGCTTTCACAAGAGTGGATATTAGTATTTTCAATCCTCAACAGTTAAATGTTCTCAAATAATGACCAATATAGTCAATAACAATTACAGGCCACAGCTCTGCAAGGAGACAGTGTTAAATGTCTCAGAATCATGCAGGACTTTAAGAATCTTTATCTCAGGCTAAAGCAACAGGGAAAGCTTTATATTTTGTTTCCTTCCAAATCTAGCTCCCATGACTAAAATTCTGAAGTCCAGAACATGGAGTGCTTAATTATCTAACAACCACTGAATCTCATTTGAACAAAAAACAATTTGATCGATGGGTCCAGCTGTGACCATTGTGTCGCATGAATTTTCTGATCGCTTTAAAATGTTGGCTATGCAGCTGTCATCTGGAACTTTAGAATGCACTAGCATTAAAATGCCACAGTTATTTTACAGACTCATCCGTATCCATGAGAGAGATGGCATTCTTCAGGGCATCTTCAATATACAATTTGTTACATATCCTAGAGATGCTGTAATCAGTGTTAATGTTTTCATTTCTCTTAAATCCCTGTATTAGTGTAACTGAGCAATTTAGAATGGGGTTATCTCAGGATAGCTTTTGCCTAGAAAGGGACTATTTGTTGCTCCTCCCTACACAATGTTGCTTAAGATGGCTGAGACTGTAGAATGGGATTCTTGTTTTTTATATTCTCCCAATTTGTACTCATGATTCAGGAGACTATGAGAAGAAGGGTCAGTACAGAATCTTTCTCACCACAGCTGTCAGTTGGCAGAAGGATAAAGGGCAGGCCAGAAGCAGGAAGACTGCTTCTCTTTGAGTTAGGGAGGCATTGAGATGATGCAGGCTTGTATTTGAGTCATCTCGATTATACTTAGGGTACATTAGTTAGGGTTACTCCATCTTCCATAGAAATCATGTGCACTTCCCTGGCAGAAGTACAGGGGTAGGGTTAGAGATAGTCATTTCTACAGCAACTTAAGTAAGAAGAAGGATCTGGAGTTTGCCAGTGGCCAGGGAATGAAAGACAACATTTTAATATAAGATGATGTTAAATGATGTTTATATCTTCCTTTTCAGTGCTGCTGTGACATCTCTATTCCCAAGTCTGCAGAAATCAAAGCGATCTAAATGTAAAGAGGTATCTTGATATCCAATTCTGAACAAATGGATCGTTTATTTGCCTTCAAAGTCACCTTTGCCATTGTCAAACCGAAGAAGAGAAAAATTATCACTTAGCTGGAAGTGTCTGTTTGATATTATAGGAGGGTGAGGAAATTTTTTTCAAGCTACTTCTCTCTGATATCTGCAAACATTAATAGAAGTGTAGCTCTTTCTCTGTCTCTTTTTTTCTTTAATGGTGTTGCTGCTATAAACTCAGAAGAAATCTATAACTAGTGATATGGTTTGGCTTTATTTCCCCACCCAAATCTCATCTGGAATTGTAATCCCCACATATCCTGGGAGGGACCTGGTGGGAGGTGACTGGATCATGGTGGCATTTTTCCTCCATTCTGTTCATAGTGAGAGTCCTCAGGAGAGCGGATGGTTTTAAGTGTGGCAGTTCCTCCTTCTTTCTCTCTCTGTCCTGACACCATATAACATGTGCCTTGCTTCCCTTCTTCTTCCGCTATGATTAAGTTTCCTGGCCCTGTGTGATGGCGTATGTCTGCAGTCTCAGCTACTCGGGGAGGCTGAGGCAGGAGAATCACTTGAACCCAGGAAGTGGAGGTTGCAGTGAGCCAAGATTTGGCCACTGCACTCCAGCCTGGGCAACAGAGAGAGACTCTGTCTCAAAAAAAAAAAAAAAAAAGAAAGAAAGAAAAGAAAAGTAAGTTTCCTGTCAGAACAGACAAATATAGCTAGTTAGGAACGTTTAGCGTGGGAATAGTTTATGACCTTGACCACCATAGGCACTCACTAAATGCTAGCTGATGCCTTTAGTAATACCGAGAAAGAGAATAAGTAGTTGTAGAGATATGCGAGAAGCTTGATAATGTGTATTTCAGTGAGCATTCCGACCTTTTTGTTAGGAAACCATTCCATATGAAGTAGAAAATCCTCTACAGTTGTCAGGGTTATTTATCCACATAAAATGTTTTGACCTTTGTTTTCTTTTAGTGAAACTGAATTTTCCAAGTGTGACCTCCCTCTGATCAATTGCATCTTCCTCTCTTGTACATGAGGTTAGCCATTAATGCTTTCAGTTCTTTTGATTTAGAGACATATTTTCTTGTCTTTACTATTTTTCAGGTCTAATGGTCAAAGGTTTAAACTTGGAAAGCAATCCTATTGCAATGCAGCTGTTGCTGATTTTATGAGAAGACCTGGTCAAAGGGAAGAAGGAATGAAATGGCATAGCTGTAAAAAAAAAAAAAGAATCAAATGGACATGTAATTCAGTTTGGCTGGTATGTCTAAGTTTGGGATCATAGTGATTATTGCAGGAAGGAATCAATAAAATGGTCTTTCAAAAACTGTTTTTGTTGCTTTTTCCTTTTATTTCAGGATGTACGGTTAGAGGATGGGAGGTTACAAAGCTTGTAGAAACTGCATAGTTAGAAGTATTCCTGTCATGTCCTCTTTTTAGAAAAATGTGTAATATGGTTAACCATTACAATCTTAATTCCGATTTTTCTTAGTAAATGAAAGGAAAGTTACATGGGATGCATTTATTTAAGCGAAAGAGCACTCATCTGCTTCGATCTCAAAGTGGTTTGTATTAAAAATATGGAAATATTTGTTTTTATATGTGTTACCTAGAAGACTGTGGGGTTTTTGTGCCCTTTGCCTTGGAAGATTATTTTACAATTTCTATGATACAGAAAACTTTTCTATATATTTAAGTGGTCAGTTGTATTCTATTTATTCATACCTGCTTATAAAATCTTTTAAAATGTCCTGTGTATTGTATAAAAATCTTTCTTTCCCCTTCCAGTTGGCCAGGTACAGAAAAAAGAAAAAGAAATTGAAAATATAAAGGGGGTTAGGCATCAAAGATAGACTAAGAGCTGTAATATTTATCTAGTGGAATTTACACAAGAAAAGACAACTAAAACAGAAGAAGCTAAATTAAAAGGCATAATACATGATTTTTCCAGGCTGATAAATAAACTATTTCTCAGGTAGTAGAAGAAACGTGAGTCTCTAATAAATAGAGAAACTGCAGAAAAACCAAGAAACAGTGATGAACCATAAATTCATAAGCAATAAATCACAAGAATTATAATTTATCTGACAGCAAACTTTACATTAGCAAAAACTGGTTGTAGAAAAATAATATCTTGAAAATTCTGAGAGAAATGACTGTCAACACACAGTATCATATAATAATGAGGCTAAAATAAAAATACAATGGTGAATTCTTATCACTTGTAGAATGTAGCTGAAAGAGCCATTAGATGATGGCAGTTATTAAGAAACTCATCCTAGAAAAGAGGTATAGTATTTTTTAAATAGAGTCTTGCTCTGTGGCCAGGTTGGAGTGCAGTGGTACAATCTTGGCTCCCTGCAAACTCCGCCTCACGTATTCAAGTGATTCTCCTGCCTCAGCCTCTCAAGTAGTTGGGATTACAGGCATGCGCCACCAAACCCAGCTAATTTTTGGATTTTTAGTGGAGACATGGTTTCATTATGTTGGCCAGGATGGTCTCCATCTCTTGACCTCATGATCCACCTATCTCAGCCTCCCAAAGTGTTGGGATTACAAGTGTGAGCCATCGCGTCCAGCCTGCAGTCTTTTTTTAAGATGTATTTACATAAATATTTATATAAAAATAATAATTTAATAGTGATAAAGACACACATAGAATTTTGAGTGGAAAGGGAAACTAATATACTACTAATATACAAGGAACCAATTGCCAAGATATGTGGGTCAAAGCATTCTAAAACCCTTTTGTTGCTTAAGAGTAAAACAGAAATATTGATTATCATACACCTGTACTAAGTCAAGTATGTACATTAAAACGCTAAGGGTAACAAATACAAGAATAAGATCTTATACACAGTTGGAATGAAGGTGAGTGACCTGAAAGGAATATCTAATGACACTATTTAGAATGCACTAAAAAAATAAGCATATGTAAAAAGTAAAGAAAGTTTAAGATACAAATAAGATTTAGAAAGTTTAACAAACCACTAGCTGAAATTTCAGAGGAATTGAACAATAGAGTGAGAAAATATCTGAAAACACACTGAGACTATTCTAAAGTTGATAAAAGATTATAATTTGCAGATTCAAGAAGTCAAATAATTAAAAGCATATCTACATTGCGTAAGACTATATTATTATTCCCAAATACTTGCTACTCCTTCCTATGGAGGAAAATATTCATCCACCCAATGAATTTTGGGTGTGGTAACGTGACTTGCATTAGTTGATGAAATAGAAGCAGAAGCAGCATGTGTCTCTTCTAATTAGAGGTTTAGGAGATAGCATGATTTGTCATTCTTTCCTTCTCTTCTGCCATGATTACTGGAAATGCCCTAAATTAAGGCTCATCTGTCAGCCTAGATCCCCAATCAATAGAACGTGGAGCAAAGTCATGGGTAACTCACAATAAATGCGTGGCATAGAGGAGACGTAAACATTTGTTGGTCTATTTACTGATATATATTTGAGAGGTCTTTTTGTTAACGTATTTTAAATTAGAGAGCAATTCTCAATAGAAAGAGATTTTGTCTTTCAGGGGATATCTCAATGGCTGGAGACATTTTTGGTTGGCACAACTGGGGTTTGTGGTGTTACTGGCATGTAGAGGACAGTGGCCAGGAACTCTGCTAAACATCCTACCAGATACAGGACAGCCCACAACAAAGACTTTTTCAGCCTATAAGATGTCATTAGTGCCAAGGTTGAGAGCCTCTGGTCTAGCCTACCCTAACCATTTTGTATACCCAGACGCATTATAGTGAAACTGCAGGTCAACAAAGGCACAGTGTTCTTAAAAGCAACCACAACTTGACTGATTACACAGGATTAACAATTGGACAGTTAGCTACTCTCAATAGAAATCAGAAGGCCATGGAATATTTCAAAATTCTGGGAGGAAATAACCATCAACATAAAACTGTATAATCAGCAAAAATATCTTTTAGAAATGAAAGCAAACTAACAGCATTTTCAGATAAACAAAAACTGTGATTTAGAGCAAATATACCTTAAGTAGAGAATATATTTCGATCTCTCCCCACTCTAAAAGTAATCCTACTTGAAAAGTTCAATATGCAAGGAGCAATGATCAAGCAAAGCCATAAATATAAGGACATATTTAAGCAAACACTGAATATATAAGACAATAGCAAAGATTTAAAAAAAGAAAAGAAAGCTAAAAGCATGATAACCATAATGTAAAGATCAAAATTAAATTTTCTGAGCTCCTTGCACTATTTGTGAGTTTGAAAAAAATCAATTAACTTTAGACTTAGAAATGTTGTGTAAATTTTAATTTCTAAAGTCTGTTAGTTTTAAAATATATAAAACCAAAATTGACAGAAACACAGCTAAATTGACCAATCTATGATCATGGTGGCAGCTTTTTACATACCTCTCTTAAAAGTAAGTCAAGAAGCAAAACATTATTAAAAAAAAAATACTTAAACTACAAGATTAGCAACCTTAATATAATGAGTATATATGGAATTTTGCATTCAATTAGATAATTTGTCTTTTTTGGGCACATTTTGACCATGTATTAAACATAAAGGTAGTCTTCAAATATAACTAACAAATCTGTAAAATTTAAAAGCTTTGTTTTCTCACAGTGAAATGAGAAATGAATAACCAAAATTGTATCAAAACCGTGACAGTGTAAGACGTAAGAATATAGAATTATAAAACATTTGAAGCAGAATGATAATTGAAAGTGATAAATATAAAAACTGTAAGATTAGTTACCTTAAATAAGTTCTTTTTAGAAAGTTTGTAGAAATAACAAATAGAGATAAATGACCAGAAATTGAAAACAATAAATTTTAGGATCAACACAACCAAAAACAATGTTTAAAAAGATAGACAGTATCTAAATATCTAAAAAGATAGACAGTAACTCTAGCAATTTTGACCAAGAAAACAAAAGAATACATAAGCAGAAAATATTTTGGGTGAAAAAAGGAGACAACAATATTGAAAGAGCAAAGTTAGAACATACGAGAGAATTCAATGTCCAGATGTTGTTATCAAGGCACACATGTTGACATCTGTCAAAACAGACAACTTTCTCAGAAATTCTAAATCATCAAAATTAACTTAAAAAAAAAAGGAAAAAAAAGAAACTGAACAGACCTATAAGTATTCTTTGATTAGCTGCTAAAATTAGACCAGGTCTAAAAAGTTTTAAAAGCAGGTTTGCCAAATGTCAAATAACGGCTAATCCCCAAATAAATAAACAATTTCAGAGAACAAAAAGAATAAAAATTTTCTAATTAACTTTTTGAGGTGCAATTTCCACACTGGACCAGGATGGTATGAGAATAAATTTATAAACCAATCTTAAGAACATAAATAAAAAAATCTTGACAATGACCAAGTAGGTTTTACTCTACTAATTTAAGAAAGTTTTAATGTTAGAAAAATCCATTAATTATAATTCTCTTTATCAGGAGAAGAAAGTAAATTGTATAATATTATTAATACACAGAGAGTGGTTTTATAAAATATGTTAATATCATAAACATCAAATTTCTCAAATAAATATCCACTGTAATTGCAATTAAAAAACAAATGTTTTTTTAAACTTGAAATTGTTAAGTGATAAACTAAAATTCATAGAGAAGAAGAAAAGCTCAAAAGGGGCCAATAACATTTTGAAGAAGGAAAATGTGTAGGACTTCCCTACAACAATTTAAATTTCAGTGACTACAACAGTGTGGCTCTGGTGAAGGAATAGTTAATAAGGGTGGTAATCGTGATCGTGCTAAAGACAGCTAATGTTTTGAGTGCGTCTATGTGCCGTGAAATGTTCTAAGTGTTTTATATACGGACAAATATTTAAATCTTACAACTTCATGAGGTAGGACGTACTAGGACAATTTTATAGATGAAGAAATTAGGAAACAGAAAAATAATTTCACCAAAGTCAAAGGGTAAATGCTGGAGGCAATATGTGAACCCAGATAAAAGGCATCAGATTTGTGTATTATTTTTTGTGTTGTAAAGTGAAGCAAGGGACATTAGGAACAGATAGATACATATGTGGGAAATAAGACCTAGAGAAAAGAAATTATGAATCAAAGGGTAAAGAAAGACATAGTAAAATGCTAGAACTACACACACACACACACACACACACACACACCAATGTATATGTGTATATATAATATAAAAATAGTCAATAAAAAATAAAAGTTTATCTAGATCTCACATTACATTCCTATAAGTTCATTATAAATATCTGAAAAATATAAATGTCAAAAGCAAAATTTAAAACAAAGTTGGAAGAAAATATACACATAAAGTACA